CCAGCATCACCTTAAGGGTTAATGGTATCACGCGGCAGCATCTCGGAACATGTTTAATGCAAGGATGTTTTCGTGCGCCTTGAATAATTAACACAGTTTGGTTTTGTTGCCTACGCTACCTCGTAACCGCGTCTATTATTAGCGTGAATCAGGGAGCGCGAAATAAACACGCTATTCTAACACATCGATCGTTCAACACGTGATGCACTTCTGCCGAAGGAGCAGCGTCTTCTCTCCCTCGAAAGTCGGGATTTTACGCGAGAAGAGGCGAGCGACGTTAAGACAAATGGAAATACATAAAAATTGAAATCTCAATTCGAGAACGTCCACGGGCTGCTGATCTAATGAGATTGAAATTGAGGTCCATGTGTGAAGCGAAATTACCTCATCACCATTTCATCGTAACCAAAGTAAAATATTGAAGAACCGTTACGGGTTCTTGCAAAACCAAAATTCAACTCGCCGATATTAATGGATCCGGGTTTCTCCCTTTATTATACTCTGTACATTAATTAATCTAATACCGGACGATATTACGAGAAACCGCGCCGCGCGCAGCGCGCTAGTGAATATTATTATCACTCGTTCGGTCGCGATTTCTCGCGATAATCCGATGTTAAATTAATTAACGTGCAAAGCGTAATAAGGGGAGAGACCTCGGGTTGGTTAATTTCAGCTGAATCCTCTACGCTGTGAACGTGCAGGAGGAATAAAAATTATTTTCGCAAGTCCATTAGCGCTACCGCAGTTTACTGTGTAAACCTTGGTACCTGAAGAAGCTCGCGGCTGTCTTCCGACGTGCCGTCGACCCCGGCTCCGTGGTGAAGCGCCGCCGTGTAATCGTCCAAAAAGCAATTCCACTCCTCGTCGGACGGTTGCTCGCCTCCCTCCTGGACGTCGATATCCTCGTGCGTCACGGCAGCGAGCAGCTCCTCGCAGCGCCCGATCGCGAACTCCAGCCTGGCGATCGGAATCGCGCGTCGTTCCTCCGAGCCGGCCACGAGAATCTCCTCGGCCGCGGCCATACCGCGAACGAGCCACCTGAGCAGACCCGCGGCCGCGGTCAGTCGGAAGTCCTCCACGAAGGCTCGTCGATCCCTGCTGGGATTGTAAGTACGCGGGAACAGGACGCCGGACACGTTCTCCTCGTACAACCAATATGCATCTTCCAGTAAGCGCGCCATTCCGAGCTACACACGTACGGCAATTTGGGAACGTTTTACCTATCGCGGCGACGGCGACGATTCCGCTCTTATCGCGGAAAACGGCGGCAATTCCGGGTGCGAGAATTCAGAGGATCTCCGCGGCTCGGCTCGAGTGTGAAAGGGCATTTTCCGTAAAACGTCGAGCGGTTAAATGACAGGTGTTTGGAAAATAACGCTAGGCGGTAACGTTTAGAGTCGGGCCGTTTAAAGGGGAATGTGTAAGCAATATCTGTCCGAGAAATATCCTCGGAACGTTTCGCGTTAGGGCGGTATACCTTCGAGGTGTAAACGAAGGATCTCTGATATCTGTTGAGCAAAACGTCGCAACCGAGTCCCCGGTGCCACTCGACGAAGTCGTTCCTGCAATCCCATATGAAGTCGGGCTGCCGGTGACGCAGGAGGGCAAAAATCACAGCTCTCTCGTTCAACGTTCCATCCGCTTGCGTGATATCGCCCAGGGAGCGAGCTTCTAAGTCAGCCGCGGTGCCTAATCGTCGAAGCACACAGAAAATGGTAGGCATTAGCGACGATATTTCATCCTCCGGCGGTGTGGCGTTCGCCACCGTATTCTGCCGGCGGTGCGCATTAACTTTATCGTCCGCAATCTACAATCTAACCGTATGGCAGCATTCTCGTTCTAGTTGACTCGTACTTCTGCACCCACCCTCGCGCCTCCAGCGCTTCCCTCAGCCTTGGCAGCTCGCCGCGCAGGAGGAATATTTTGCGCCTCTGCGAGCGTCGACGTTGGCGGCAAAAATATTACAACATTCGTTAAATCGCGAAAATGCTTTGAATTGCGCGCGAATAACTCGGCGCAATTTTTGCTATCGATCGATTAAATTTCACAATTCATAAAGTCGCATCGAGAGAGAGAGAGAGAGAGAGAGAGAGAGAGAGAGCGAGGGAGAAAACGGACAATTTCAAGTATTTCATTTTTCCAGAGCACAGCGGGACAATGTAGCCTGCCGTTTCTTATATATATTTTACGTGTAACAGTCCTGCTATTTGTCCAATCAAGTGAAGAAGAGTTTACCTTGACGGCGTTTTCCACTTTCGCTTTGATCTTCCCGTAAGCTTCCTTCCTGGACCGTTCCTTTTCGCAGTAACCGCGACGTTGCGCGACGATTGTCTCCTCCGAAAAGGCACAGCAGGAACAAGGGCAGGGATTCACGTATGCACCGCACTCGAATTCCGGTAAGCCGCTAATTCCAGCTTCGCCTTGGTGATCCGCGCCTGGAAGCGTCCACCTCGGGCGCAGCATCTTCACGCGATCGGATCGATGGTATGGATTCACGGGGCTGTCCCTCCTACCCAGATCGATCGAGGAAGGAGGTAATTTCCAACTGGATTGAAACTTCTTATCCCGGCACGTGGACCCCATTGTGATTACGCTCTCGGAATTGCGGCTCCCTCCTAATATCCCCCGAACGAGCAATGTTAAATCGCCGCAATTTGTCGTAATTTGTCAACGTAACTCGTCATTTATAGTTATCAGACGGGCTGACGTGGCCCGCGTGAATTAACGCAAGGGTCCGTTTCCCCCGCGGTGGCGGTAATGCGACTTCGACTTCGGGATTAAACTGGGACGCCCGGCGATATCTCAGTCACTCGATTAACGGCTAATTGCGTTCATTTAGTGCAACGGTCGCGAATAGCGCGCGACCGCGCGTCCCCGCCGCCGTCTATTTCGACGAAATGCCTCGTCGAATAATTAATCCGCGAGGTCCGGCCCGTCCTGCACGCGAGGTAACGCGTTTAATGAACTATGCAAACAATTTTCGGATCCGCTGTGTGTCCGAGGATCGACACGCGCGGTATTGTTATCGGAGAACCTGATGTATGCCAGGTGAGTTTACACCGTTACACATGCGGAAAGCGCGGTTTAGACGAGGCGCCGGACAAATATTGACCAGTGTTCTTAAAGCTGCGTGTCTGGTTAGGAAAACCGATTATCGCGTCGGCCCGACTCTTTAGTGCAGATTCGCGCGGATCCAGCAAGACTCTCTTTTTGTACGCCCTGATACATTTTCTGTGATAAAACGACAAAATAGAGCGTCTCTCGCGACGCCGCCGGTCCCGAAAATTTTGACAACGACACGACGGCGGGCACGTCCGATCGCGCGACGGAGGCGAGTTTGCCCAGATGACATTGTCACCAGCAAAATCCGAATGTCCGTAACGCACGTGCGACAGGCGCGGGACACGGCCCCGCACGTGCGTAACGGCGTGATAAATCTCTCGTAGCGAGCGATAAATCGCTGGGTTAAATCACCGTCTATCGCGCGCTAATACAATTAAACATTGAAACAACTGTTGCGAGCATTCTGCGAGTATCGCGATCGCCTGCTATACGAGCATTAACAGCGCTATTATTTCCTCCCCAGGTTCACAAGGCGACGTCGATTATGATTTTTCGGACCGTTTGATTTTACGACGACTAGATTCTTCATTGATATTCGCTAGGAGATCGATAGAGACCCTTTGTCAATATCTCGTCGATGAAGAATCTGGTGAACATCATATTGAAATCAAGTTGAGATCGTGTGCAAATCAAGTTGACATTTACAAGATTTTATTACGAAATCTGAAAAATATTTTTATAGATGTCCACGATCTAGTCATATTTCAATTGATATCAGATTGAAATCAAATTGAGATCATGTGCAAATCAATAATCAAGTTGATGCTGCAGTTCGAGCCCAGCTACCGCAAGTGCACGTATACATATATTTTATAACTCGACTCTGTCTTATTCGACGACGATGACTGACTTAGTATCACTCGAAAGGGCCCAAAAGAATAAACTAATTAAATAACTAGCCAGTTGGGTTGACCATAAGTTTCCCGTCTCAATTATCAATTTGATTATTGATTTGCACATGATTTCAACTTCGCCAGATTCGCCATCGACTTGTGAAGGGTCAGCGGGCGTTTTTGTCCCTCCGGGTCGCCCGTCGAGAACAACTCGACGTCGTCCACGCGAGACTTTCACGGTCACTTCGCGGATATCTCCGGCGAAACGAGCACCTAATTTTCGTCGTTCCCGGGGATTCCAGAGATCCGTCACGATGATCCGTCCTGGCTTGAGGTTAAGGCATCGGCATCCCCTTGAAACGACGGCGAATCGCAGCGAAGATTTTTACGACGGCTCCCAGACGGCTCTCCAACGGACTGCGGGATTTAGCTCATGACTCCTGTGCGCCGGAAACGTGCTGGTGCACTCTTGGGTTTCCTATTCGCTGATGACGGGCATGTTCCTTCCTATTTCCCTGAGCACGTATCGTCGCCGATGAGCGGCTAGATTCAAGCAATCCCTGCTTTGCTGAATATTTTATTAATTCCTTCCGAGTGCGCGAACCGCTGCACTTTCCAGGGACTCTTTCAAAGCGAAGGTCGTTAGCGCACGGCAACGGGGGAAAAAAACACACGTTTTCTCTGCGAAGAGAAACGAGCTCCGCACAAAAATTCCGTAATGCGCTAAATTACTCTGTCACGTATTTTCTTGTATACATTTAAATAAGCTGTGCTTAATAGAATAGAGAAAATACGTAACGTACGAGAGTACGTAGTTAAACAGTTATATTCGTGTTCTAAATAACGCTGCGTAAATGTCAGATTAAATTATATTCTCCTAAGTGTGACACACATGAAAGTTCGTAGGCGCACATGTGGCGGCGAAATAACGAAAGGGATCGTTCGTATGTGGAATTTTACAGTGAATTCCGAGTCGGAAACTAACCATTAGAAAGTTATCGCTAAAGTGGGTCATGCGCCGCATTATTTCCAAAGTGAGTCGGGACTCGGTACGGAACGGAACGTCAGAATGAGAATCAGGGTTTCGGCGAGCCATCGTTGCGTTCAAATTGGATTTCATAATCGAATTCCAAGGCATCTTCGGCGGGATGCGACGGGGGCGCCGCGTCGACTCTAAATACGAGGGCGCGAAAATTCGCGGAAATAAACGCTCAAAGTGTGTTTTACCGCGCGCAGATTTATGACGCCGTTCCGCGTGCCGTATTTATTTTCGCCCGAGCCCATATACACGTATCCACTGTGCCGCACATAAATTCCATATCTTGCTTCAATATTTTATCGCTGTCGGATTAAAACAGCGCGGGATCCAATATGAAACGTTTTCGCGCGCCGCACGCGAAACGCGTTACACCGATTCGACGAAACGCGAAATAATAACTCAAATCCATTAAGCGCACCCCGTACCTTTTAACGGGTGCTTATCATCGTAAACCGTCTCTTCGCTTCCCCAGTCGCGAGCCGCGTATCGCGCGGGGATGATTCTATTAAGGAGCGATTCTATTTCCACCCTTATAGATATGTAAGCGAAATTTCGGCCGACGAGAAGTTACTTGTGGCTGTTATTGCAATATTTATAGCACACCTTACCAAATTAAAAGCTCGTTTTGGTTTACGGCAACCATATCGTAAGTCGCATGGACCAATATTGTGTCTATAACTATAATACATTGTTAGGTCAACCAGAACTAACGTAGTTGGAAAAATTGTAAAAATGTGGTTGGCTCCTCAAATGACTGTAAATTATAGCGAGATTGTGGTAACCGCAACCATTTTTTTTCTCTCAGTGTGTGTTCTGTGTCGTGGACACAGGTTTTACTGTACTCCATTAATTGTTCGATGCTTTTTCCGTTCCCAGTTGTTACATTTCTGTAAGAGCAGCCACATGGTAGCCACGTCTCGACGGGATCTTCTCGCCTCGAAGCAACTATTGTCTACAAGTCGGAATTGTAACGGCGAGATCAGAGCTGCGTGATTCGGTTATCCGAGAGGTGAAAGGGGTAAGAGGACACCGGTGCTTAACCTTATTTTAACTAATATATTTCACGATGGTTCTTCCGCCGCTCCGTTCTCTTACGCGATATAATCAGAATAATGGAAGGTCTAATAGAGGCCTTCATATGAATAAGGATATGACTGCGGAAGAAGGCGGAGAGGTTTAAAAGCACTCCCGGTGCCTTTGGTGATTAGGGAGTGCACCGAGCGTGGTTACTTAGCCGGTTAACTCGTTCGTTTGCCCTCTCGTACTCTCGCGCACTCCCGGCATCGTTTCCCGACGCAATGCGTCGCGACGCGGCTTGCGTTTCGAAGCGCAATGCGGCGCGATGAAATTAGCGAGACAGCGTTCGCGTGGCTGTTGCTCGTCGGGTCATTACCGTAATGCATCGTTTCGGGATAAAAACGAGGCGCGCTGAGCCTCGGTGGCTAAACGAGAACCTTAACTGTGCGCCACGGAGAAACGGATAGATGTTTTACTCCCCGTCTCGTCGAGCGTAACGACGAATTCTGTCGCAAGGCGGTGCGGGCCCTTTAATACAATTTCCTGGCCGATAGTAATTTTTAGCTAATTAGCAATTCCGCGAAGAACATCGAGGAGCATCGACTCGACCGACTAATTTCTTTTATCGCTCCGTCGACGGACCACGCGCTTAAAATTGGACCCGGTAGAGCGTACTTTTTCAATGACTCGTTACCGCATCGGCCGCTTTTCGAAAAATGTGCCGGGTATTATTCACCGTTGTCGCGCGCCAGCGGTGGTGTCGATAATTAGTAAACGAATTACGTAGTTAACTTACAATTTCGTTCTGCATGCACGACACCCCGCGCCTGCGAGCGCCGCGACGTGCCGTGCAAGCAAAGTAGCTGTAAATTACCGAAACACAACTTCGCGGTCTATGGACACTGCCACGTTTATTAAGCTAATGCGAGTTTTCGGCCGAAAAACTTAATCCAACGCAGGCGCCGCGCGCTGGTCCTTCCGCTTAACGAAGTAACCGGCATAATTCGCGCGTTTCGCCTAATTACGCGCGCCCGTAGCTCGCCCGTATTAGCGATGCAATTTCGCGCCGGTAACGGATGTTCAGATTCTCCGTCAGGATATTATAAATAGAGATAATGCTCGAAAGAGTACGGAAAATGAGGACGTGGATAATTCAAGGACGTGAATATTGCAGAGGGACAAAGAAATCCGTAGATGAAACAAGGTAATCTGGGATATATTCCTTATACATCCTCTCTCCCCCCCCCCCTCTCTCTTTCTCTTCCTTCTAGATTTTCTCTCTTATCAAATCCACTGAATTTATCGTCCATTAAACTGAGCAAAGCGTCCATCCACAGGCATAAAATTGTGTAACTAAGGAAAGAGAAATGAAAAATCTGAGCGTCAGCTTAGTCATTCTCGCTTGATGATAACTTATGTTTCTTTCAGTTTATGATGGGGCATAGATTTGCCCTATCTTTCAAAAATTTGTTATATACATATATATTCTGTTATTGTAAAAGAGGTAACATGAATCCTCTTTCTTTCTCTTTCGATGACTCTGTCCTCGCACATAATGAACGTAATATCCC